CACTGCCGTTCGACGAGTATTGCATGGGGATACTGCGCTTGCTAAACGTGGTTGTCATTGATTCGACATGCCGACTATTTGTTGCAGCCGTTTACTACCTCTTATAAAAACTTTAAGAGAGGATTTCTCAAAGTGATGATTAGGCCGTCGACGGGGAATAAGTACTTTTTTGATGACGACGGACAGCCTCTGTTCCCGTTGTACTGGACTCGGAAGCCGCGCAAGTACAACACAATGTCCAAGTCCCAGCTGTCCCCTGAAGAGCGCACTAGTTTAAAATTTTTGCTGAAATTACCTCGGCCGCTGCCGTGCCGACCTCTGGTTCGGTTACTTGAATCGGCCGACCCGATCGAAGAACTAATCGGTAAAGTAACTTTCCTAGTTGTGTAGGTTCTTACGTTATCATTGATTTTGACTTAATGATGTGCAGGTATAATGGTGAGCCGTGCAGACGATGATTTGGACATTCGGTCGCTGATCCGCAATCGGCTGGCGACGACGACGGGGAACCCTGTTCCGGCTGACGCCCGTGCGGCGGGCCATACATCTCAACCTCAAGGTGGGGGGTCGAGTCCCACTGCTAGGGTGAGGAAGGGGGATAAGGGTCCGACCCCGCCTCAAGCAGAAAAAAGAAGGCCCGAGGGAGGCAGGGCCGTGGATGAAAGTCGACGGGCAAAGCAGCAACGACTAGCCAACCCGAACGCTCCTGAGGGGTTGGTTGGGCCTAACTTCTTGGCCGGCAACGTCAACGCTCAAGATTTCTTGAGCCAGGACTTGACCTCCAAAGTTGGGCAGGGGGTGCTGAGCCGCATGAGTTCGGCTCAAAAGTGGCACTTCTTTTGCGAGTTCCAGGTGCGGGCGGTTGCTTTGGCTCAAAGTATTGTGATGGAGCCGAACGGAGAAGCGGAAGGCCTCCGTCGTCAACTAGCGGAGCATGAGAAGTCTTTGCAGGAGACTTTGGCAGCGTTGACTGATGCTCAAACGGCCAACAGCAAGTATCAGGCCGAACTGGACCGCCGAGGGCGTACTGCTGATGACTTGGCGCTCAAAGTCCAGCGCTTAGAGGTTGCCTTGAGGGGGGAAACGGAGAAGGTTGGGCTGCTGACCAAAGAGCTGGAATCCGAGAAGATAGCCTTCGGGGCTTACCAAGAAAAAGCTCGTAGCAAGGTCTTGTCCCAGCATGAGGCTGGGTTCAATCAGGCGGCTCGGCAAGCGCGCTACTTTGGTGACTTCCCCTCCGACTTCCAGCTGGACATGACCAAGGACTTCTTCCAGGGGAAGTTGGTGGACTTAACGTCTATCCCGCCGGATCAGCAGCCGGACGAAGCGGCTCCGGTTCGGGCGGCCAGGCTGGACGACGAGACGGCCTACGAGGAAGGTGCCCCGGAAGACGGCCCCGTGCAGGGTGAGGCGGAGGTCCAGTCTTGAATCTTTTCTCGTGCGCCTCGTGTTAATGAGCCAGTGGTGCTCTAGTTGACTTTTGTTGTTTTGTTTTGTTTGTTGTGTATGGATGGGCCGATAGTGCCCCTTTTATCCTTGTACTTCCCCAGGCCGATAGTGCCTTAATGAATATGTTATCATTTCGGTTATAATTGCTTAGTTGTCGTATTTATTTCACACGGTACTGAAAATTGGTAAGACTTGTAAAAATTTTAAGCCGCGTCCTTAGCCGAGAGACATCTCGAGAGGGAAGACTTGTAAAAAATTTTAAGCCACGTCCTTAGCCGAGAGACATCTCAGGAGGGAAGACTTGTAAAAAAAATTAAGCCACGTCCTTAGCCGAGAGACATCTCGGGAGGGAAGACTCGTAAAAATTTTAAGTCGCGTCCTTAGCCGAGAGACATCTCGGGAGGGAAGACTTGTAAAAAATTTTAAGCCACGTCCTTAGCCAAGAGACATCTCGGGAGGGAAGACTCGTAAAAACTTTAAGCCGCGTCCTTAGTCGAGAGACGTCTCGGGAGGGAAGACTTGTAAAAATTTTAAGCCGCGTCCTTAGCCGAGAGACATCTCGGGAGGGAAGACTTGTAAAAAATTTTAAGCCACGTCCTTAGCCGAGAGACATCTCGGGAGGGAAGACTTTAAAAATTTTAAGCTGCGTCCTTAGCCGAGAGACGTCTCGGGAGGGAAGACTCGTAAAAATTTTAAGCCGCGTCCTTAGCCGAGAGACATCTCGGGAGGGAAGACTTGTAAAAAATTTTAAGTCACGTCCTTAGTCGAGAGACATCTCGGGAGGGAAGACTCGTAAAAATTTTAAGCCGCGTCCTTAGCCGAGAGACATCTCGGGAGGGAAGACTTGTAAAAAATTTTAAGCCTTTAAAATTTTAACTATAAGCCAACATCCGATGTCTGAGATTTTGAAGTGTATTCTTATTGACTTGATGCCTCGTTAAAAACCTTGCCAATCAAAAACCCCTTTTCACAATTTTATAAGGGGAAAAAAGATCGGTTCAAGAAAAAGAGTGCACCATTTTACACACAATTGTAAGGTAAATACAAGTTGGGTTCAACTATAATACGTCTTCAGATGTGTTGAATTCCAGGTCCTCGGAATGACTTTGCCGGACAGCTCCTCCAACTTGTATGCCCCATTGTTAAGCGCATGCCGTATGCGAAACGGTCCGTCCCAATTAGCTGAGAGCTTGCCCTCGGAAGCGTTCCGCCTGGCCAGACCAATTGCTCTCCAGACTAGGTCACCCTCCTGAAACGTCCTCGGCCTTAAGTTAGAGTTAAAGCGTCGGCTCATTCGTTGTTTGCATGCTTCTGCCACCACTTGTGCCTTTTCTCGCCTTTCATTGAGGACATCCAGTTCGGCTCGGCATGAGTCATCATTAGATTCCTCATGAAAATGCTGTCTCCTGAACGAGGGTTCGCCTATCTCCACCAGAATCATTGCATCTACGCCGTACGTCAGGCGGAAGGGTGTTTCCCTGGTAGTTGATTGCGATGTACATCGGTAAGCCCAGAGGACTTCCGGTAACTCTTCGGCCCATGCTCCTTTAGCCGTACCGAGACGCTTTCTGAGCTGGGAGAGAATAACCTTGTTTGCAGCTTCGGCCTGGCCGTTCGACTGAGGATGTTCCATTGACGTGAACCGGTGCCGAATTCCAAGGTTCTCAAGGAAAGCGTTGAACTTCTTGTCTGTAAACTGGAGGCCATTGTCCGAAACGATGGCGTATGGAATGCTGAAGCGGGTAACCAAATTCCTCCATACAAATTTCTGAACGTTAGTTGTCGAGATGCAGGCGAGCGGTTCGGCTTCTATCCACTTGGTAAAGTAGTCAACCGCGACCAAAAGAAATTTTACCTGTCCTTTTGCGACGGGGAACGGTCCGAGCACGTCGATACCCCACAACGCAAACGGCCATGGGGAGCTGATGCTGTGTAACTCGGTGGCCGATGCGTGAATGACATTTCCGTGCCGTTGACACGGTATCCACCTCTTGACAAACTCTGCACAATCTCCTCTCAGGGTCGGCCAATAATAGCCGGCTCGTAACACCTTTGCTGCTAGGGTCTGGCCTCCGGAGTGGGATCCGCAGATACCTTCGTGGACTTCCCGCATTACATATTCAGCCTGCAGATTATCAATGCATTTAAGCAACGGGGTGGAGAATTCTCGCCTGTAGAGCTCGCTAGCTACTATGGAATACCGAGCTGCTTGGGTACGCAACTTTCTCGCTTCCATCGGATCGGGGGGCAATTCCCCTTGGAGGATGAAGTTCCGAAGGGGAGTCATCCAGCTTGGACCTTCGACATCGGTAGCCATGCACTCTACGGCCACACTTGGAGAAGGGACTTCGAGGTGAATTATTGTTCTTAGCTGTCCCGGTTTTCTAGTGCTAGCGAGCCGAGCTAACTGATCGGCTCGTTCGTTGCTACCTCTTGGAATATGCCGGATTTGAACCTCGGCGAAATCATCTTTGAGTTTCTGGAAGAGGTGATAATACTGCAACAAATTAGCATCTTTGACTTGAAAGTTGTTGTTGACTTGTTCAGCCACAATCTTTGAGTCGGTCCAGCATACGACTTTTCTCACACCCATTTCAGCTGCTAGTCTCATTCCGGCCAGCAGTGTCTCGTACTCCGCTTGGTTGTTAGATGCTCGAAAACCGAAGCGGAGCGATTGTTCTACCGTGATGCCTGAAGGGCTAGCGAGAATTATCCCCGCCCCGCTTCCTTGAGCGTTAGATGATCCATCGACATGCATGGTCCACGGGTCGTCTTGAAAACTACCTGCTGGGGTGAGCTCGTTGACGAAGTCAGCCAAATGTTGTGACTTGATAGGTCCCCTCTGCTCAAAAGATATGTCGAATTCTGAGAGTTCGACCGACCAGGCCATCATTCTACCAGCAATTTCTGGCTTCCGAAGGACTTTTGCAATCGGGCAATCAGTTCGGATTACCACCCTATGACTTTGGAAATATTGCCTGAGCCTGCGAGCAGTGTAAACGAGCGCTAAAGCCATCTTTTCTATCAACTGGTAGCGCTTCTCGGCGTCTTGTAGTGTCCGACTGGTAAAGTACACCGGTCGCTGATCCTTCTGGTCTTCTTGTATCAAAACAGCGCTTATCGAATGACCTGATACGGCCAGGTAGACTATCATATCGGAGCTGGCATTCGGTTTGGAAAGTACCGGGGGTGAGCTAAGGCGTTGCTTGAATTGTTGGAACGACTCTTCACATTCGTCGGTCCAGCTGAACTGCTTTGCTTTCTTTAGCAGGGCAAGGATTGGCTGAGATATCTCGGCCAGCCGAGGAAGGAACCGTGAGAGCGAGGTAAGCCGACCTGCTAACCTCTGTACTTCCTTAAGAGTGCCGGGACTCTTCATCTCCAGTATGGCCTGGCACTTTTTCGTTAGAGAACAAAAAAAATAAGACTTGGTAGTATAAAGTAATAAAACCTATTAATCGGTGTTTTAAAACCCGGACCGACCCGGCCGGTCGGACCGGGTGCGCCGTACTTTCTTTAATGACTAAACTCCGTACAGTTATAACATTAAAAAAGAAATAACACCTCAACAACTTACCTAAACGTATTCACATCATTAATTTATAATTATAAGAAAAAATATTTTTTGTGATTTAGTATTGAACCTGTAGAATAATTTCACAAAATTAATGTCATTATAAAGACTTGATTTGATATTTCAGAAGCGCATAAGATTAAAATATCCTATACCTGAAGTTTTCCTAGGTGCCATGCTCCACATACACATACCACCTCCAGCATTTTATCATGCATGGATTGCAGACTAAAATCATCATCGTGCTCATAACCATTTTTCCAAAGATCTACTCCACCCATATAGCTCCCAATATTGAGCACAATTAAGCCCTCAGAATCCTGTATGAAAGAAGAATTAATAAACGATGCTCTACATGCAAATTTAGAGGACACGATATTCATTACATCAATCTCTTAATGTGAAAATAACTATCAAAATCAGTAATTTACCTTGGGAATCTCAATGTCTCTCCCATCAACTTCAAGCCATACTTGCCATGGCAAGTCAGCACAAGTTCTATCCATAATATCTCTTGCTCCTTCTTTTGCATATCGCAATTTGTTCAGAAACTGTTAATTGAAAGAGATAAACAAACCCAAAAAGTAAGAACCAAACTCAAAAGTAAGAAAGAAAGCATTGTATGGATTGAGCAAAAAGCTAAATACCCTAGATAAGAAAACACAAAAAAAAAAAAAAATGAGGAAGTAAACATGTATAACTTGTTGAAGTGACCAAAATTGTATTTATCACGAGGTTTCGGTAACCGCAGGCTGGCAAAATAGCACTCGTGTGCCATTTTTTGGTCGGCATGGACGGTGATCACCCGCCCCGAACCGGATGGGAACTTCATGGCCAGGTGAGGTGTGGACACGATAGCGCCGAGTCTGTTCAGAGATGGGCGGCCAAGCAGAATGTTGTAGGACGTATTGGTGTTGACTACCACATATTTTACCGGGATGTCACGGTATTCTGCTCCTTCAAATCCGAAACGAGTCGACAACTTGATATAGCCCTTTGTTTTAACCCGTTCGCCAGAGAATCCGACCAATGGTTCGTCATACGAGATTAACTCAGACTCCGGGATGCCCAACTGCTTAAACGTGCTCCAGTACAAGAAGTCGGCCGAACTTCCTTGATCCACCAGCGTTTTTCGCACAATGCAGTTATGAATTTCGACGCTGATTACCATTGGGTCGTCTTGATCTGGGTCAATCCCCTTGAAATCGGCGCTGGTAAAGGAAATAGTAGGCTGTGAATGCCTAGC